ACACTCATTATACTTACTTCAATTGGTTACGCTCAGTAACCATGCTTGTATCCTGGCATGATCTCGGTATTCTTTCGATACCACGAGATCGCCAGCAAATATATCTCGACTTGGTCCATTAACTGCCTTCTGATAATTGGCTTCCTGGAGATTTCATGGATATCCCGGCACGCATTCTTTTGTAGTGGTGTTGGCTGCAATTAAACGCAACTCAATTTCGTAAATGTGCCCTTCAGCTTAGCAATCAATCAGAATGAGGCGGGAATTATTACATCCGCCATCTTCGTAAGCAATGGCGGTCGGCTTTCTTCGTTCTGTGCTTCTTTCAGCTATTTCTTTTGTGTAGCTACGGAATTTGATGTTTCAGTGTGCTAAAATTCAAAAGTTAGTGTAATACTCTGAACGTTGGAGCAAAGTTTTTCCTGATTTTGCTTTGTTTTCTGGGTTTTATCTGCTGCTAATGCAGTTGTGATTTACCTTGAGTTCATGAATATTAGATAAGGTCAGCTACTATTACTTGCGCAAAGCATAAAATGGGCTTAGTACCGTATTACAATGTTTTTATTATTTTGCTCCCATTTAAGTATTCCCATGCATCTGTGTCTAGTTTAACAGGACAACATACAAGCAGAGTAAGTGTCTGATAAACTAAAAGTCCCAGTTGTCAAAAAGATTCTTAACCTTTGTCCACAGCCAGCTGCATTTAATTGAGACACAGAACACTCATCTTCTAAGACTGTATACTGCTGTTTTGCGGGCAACTAAAAGCTCAGACACTTAGCTATCTTGCTACCGATGTTATCGATGGGGAAATTGTTTAATGACAGTGATCATGAAATATGGTCAGTGATAGATGTACAGTTAAGAAATAAACACCAAACATACTTATCGCTATCTTATAATGTATGATATCATACATGCTATATAGCAACAGCATCAAAGGCACGTTTTTTCCTATTTTTAATCAGGCTGATCTGAATCCGTATACACATTGGAAACAGGCAACTCTACTTACTAAACTGATCTGTTTCGTTACAGGCTTCAATCACTATACTTAATTATATCATAATTCCTTCAACTAAACTGAATTATACGACAACCAAGAAAATCAAACTAAGCAAGTGTCATAGTTATTGTTTCACTTGCAAAGACATGTTGCTCAAAGTAGGTAAATGGACATAATTAAGCCGATAAAACCAAAACACGAAATATAGGCCAGTTGAACTTACCTAAGAAAAAAAGAAGGATACATATATACTGCTTTAAAGCAGTATATAGTATGAATTCATACTGAAGACAACAGGAAGTTGATCATAGAAACACAGTTTACAGTACAACAAACCTTTCTTCAGTAAAATCATGCACAGACAGTCTATCTGGAAACAATCAACTATGTGAATAAAATCACTATGACTTGAGATATCATTTCAGCGTGCAATGGACGTACAGTGTAACGCAGTCGGACGTGGCGAATAAAAATTAAAAACAGAGAAAAATTAACTACATAATCTAGTTATTTAATTAAAAATACATTATGAAATGACAAAATATGTGGTTACTTGAACGCACAAATGACAGTGTGCGATACATTAAGTTTACATTGGTTGCGTTGCGGATAAGATAACCCGTGGTGTTCATAGTCATTCGCGACTCGACGCCACACAACAGATCTTTCTACAGGAAACCCATGTGAAATGACCAACTATCAAGTTTCCACAGCTGGGTCCTCCTTAAACGAGAAAAAAACCTGATAATAACACTCGCAACAAGAATACAACGAATCTGTAGTCACAACATCATAGAGAAAGAATTGGAACACCTGAAGGAGATACTTGTTAAAAACGGATATCCTTCGATTTTCATTGATAAGAACACAAAGCCAAAAACTCCGAAAACAAAGATAACTACAGTAGAAAAGAAAACTTTATACATGAACATCGAACTCACAAAGTGACAGAGCCATGCATACTCTAAAGAGGAGAATTTCCGATTCTTCAAAAAGAACATTCCCTGCAGCAACTTTACGAATGATATTCTCCAGCTGATCATTGTTCATTAATAATCTGAAAAATAAATTGTCGCATCTGGCCAACTCAATGTGCATTTACCAATTTACCTGCTCATGTGGAGCTAGATTTATAAGTCGTTCGATGCGTACTTTATCCCAAAGAATTCAAGAACATAGTCCGACTTGGCTAAAAAGAGGAGGAAGTGGCTAAATAAGAAGCTCAGTAATTAAACACCTTGTGAACACAGGTCGCTCAATCAAGGTAGACTTTGTATTCAAAGTCATCTATAAGGTAACCATAAGTATCGCAAAAACAATTAGACTGCATCTTCTTTGCATTGCCGAAGCACTAGCCATACATCTGGAAAAACCAGAATTGTGTGTGCAAAAACGACTGGTACAACCTGTTCTTCTACCATGGTCCTGATGTCTTATAATTTTTAATATTATTTTTAACATTCACTTTCTTCATACTCTTCTTCCTTTACATCCATCTGCTTCACCGTTCATCTCTCCCTTAAATTTTCTACTCCCAACTGGTTCATTTTATTCCAACGATCATCCTCATTATATTTAATCTCAATTTCAACATTTGTCTTATCATGCTGAGCTATCCGTCTCTCTATCTATCTTTTGATGAATACTTGTGCCATTAACGATCAAACGGTTATTAAACTTCCCTTGATCTTTTAAAAGAATTTTTATTAACTTTGTTTATTTAACCCTAATGTCAACATGCCTAATAGAAGTTTATTATCGGTATGATTATCATCCTGTGAAAATAAGTGTATATTTGCGATTATACAGCTTTGAAAATGAACTCGCCGAAAAGGGAACTCTTCTCTGAAATAATCTTTCTTATTTAATGTCTTAATGGGTGTATTCCGTATATGAATGTTCAGTGTTAAATACACGCCAAAATTTTAGAACTTCGGTGTTAAGTTGGAGCTGTTTAATCCGTTTTCCCCATGTAATCCTCTTGGTCGCATGTGAAAAATCCTCTCTGTTACTTGTCAGTTCATTAATTATTTTATCAAATAAACAGTCTAATAATTCATTTAGTGGTTTATCAACAAGACAATCTCGTTTTTGCCTGCTGATTCCTAATGCGTCTGTTTCTATGTCCTTGCACAACGGAATATTTAGGTCTTCTTGAGACAATTTTGAATGGATCTTCGGATAGAAGATTGTGTGGTACTTTTACTCTGTCACGCCTCATCCAGTCGCGAATGCAGGCGCCCAAATCTGTGGGCACATATGTAGCTCATGGCTTGTTATGTCATTGATCTGTCTACCCAATAGTATACAGGAGGTTAGCTGTCTCGATGTAGATTAAAGCCTTGACGCAATAGGCTTACTGGCTTAACCTCGAGGCTAGAAATGCCTGAATCCGAACTGAGACTAACTGCCTTAGGTAGAGAGAAGAAGAACATTCTACCACCCGGTTGGTTGACAGTGAGAAAGAAGACGAGTTAGCTGGAACACTACTTGATTTGTTTCCGACTTCGATTGGAGCAAAGGGTACATAAATAAATAGATTATTAGCATGACCACAACATACAAACAATTAGAACAATGCAATTATGTCCAAACTAGGCATTCAGATATAAAAATTGAGTACCAAAGGTTACGTTTAAATTACAATAGCTTTGAAACTAAAAAGAGTATGCTAGTGGTTCATGCATCAGACAAAAGCTTATGGCTTGTAGAATAAACTAGCGGTAAAACTAAATGTTAGTATTATACAAGTTTTGAATTGAGTGGAATAGTGTCCCCCAAAGTAGCTTCCCTTGTTTGTCATGGCTTCTTTATTTCTCAGTTCACATCATCTTTATTTTTGACAAAAAGGGTTATAACTGTCATTTATCTAACTGTACAGGTGAAGGAAACTGGCTAGCGCTGTGATCCTCGTGTAGATCACCAGCACAGATGATCTGTGTCTAATGATTGTGGGCCCACTCGATTTAGACGGAAATGGTGTGACGAACTAGCCTCGTCAATATCACATCTGATAGTTAGTACGTAGCATGGAACAGCATTTTGTCGCATCCAGGTAATATGGCTGCTTTGACGACCATACAACACAAAGGACTTTATTACAGAAATATGTTGGCAAGATTAGGTACAAGGAAGATAGTGAGACCACCGCCGCATGAGCCATTCCATAGCGTTGCTACACTACCTGTCTTCGCATGCACTTGTTGATAAGTATGGAGTAGAAAAGCTACGTCATCTGCATAATCCAAATCGTCTAGTTGCATCCAAGCTGTCCATCCTGTGCTTTCCCTTACATGTGGAGGTTTTCATAGTCGAATCGACCGCCAGAAGATAGAGAAAACGGGGGAACAAATAACATTGTGACCTCGGTCATAACCTGGAGTGCGTCAGTCAGCTGTCCCCTACATATGGCACTGCGATTTAATCCATCGTATGAATTCCGTGTGATGTTGACAATCTTCACAGGTGCAACACAGTGTCGAAGATGGTTCCATAAGTTTATCCTATCTTCATTGTCAAATGCTTTCACATAATCAGGGAAGTCAATGTATAGTGACGAGTCCCGTTCAGCCGACTATTGAACATTAGTCAGTAGTGTCGTTAAACGACTTCTTATCACAGAATCCAGTCTGTTTATCTCGAAACTCCGTGCCTGCTGGATCATTTATTAGTTTCAAGCACACTGCCGTAAACTTTTCCTGGTACTAATAGTGGAATGATATCTCTGTTGTACTCACCTTGCTGAGATCTCCTTTCATAGGTATCTTGACGAAGCATCCTTCTTTCCAGTCTACCGGCACTTGTTTTGTCTACAAAATCTTTCTTCAGAGAATATGGAGCATCTTTGCAGTTGCTTCCATATCTGACTTCAGTGCTTCAGCTCGTGTGTTGTCTGGTCCTTCCGCCTCAAAGTCGGACGGACAACAGGGAACTAGTTTTAACGTTTTGAGGCACAAAGTGAATCACTGACATTTCACACAGAAGCTCGTGAAGCGGGAGCTACTTCTTTCCGTCCATTAGAATTTGACTATTCGAACCGTTTGTGGAGGTATTTATGAAAGCTGTCGTTACCGTGAAGGGTTTGTGATGATGGCTGATAAGAAGGAAATATACAGATCTATTGCCCGTTTCTTCGATAAAGAGATAAATTCCCATGTCTACTCTTCGGAGATAAATGAGGGTCTTGAAGGTAAACATACATACACTAAATTTGCGGTGGGGAAGTCATTACTTTTCGTATATCTTCCTTAACGAAAATGTAGTATCATTGTGAGAAAACGGTGATATGTATTTCTGAGTAGACTGGTTCTAAACGTAGCAATATCGTCGGATGAATATCAACTAGTGTTTTAATATACGGTTAGGAGAGCGTACAAACCAATCATGAAGAGGGATAGATGATACTTCCAACTGTCTTATGTTCAAAAGTTCTCGAAAAAGGCCATGTAAACTGTAGATAAATTTAGAGGGCCCTAATTATTTGAACAGAGAGAAAAGCACTAGCGTTGTGGAACCTTGCTATAGTCGGGAAATTGTGAGGTTTCTGGTTGGTGAGTAAGATATTCGTTAGTATTCGAAGTTTTTGCGTCGTTCTATGCAGATCCAAGCCAGCGGTCTTTTCAAGTTATTAATGGTTGAGAATTCGTAAGAAAGCTGTCGTGATTGTCGGAATTCCCGCTATTCTAGTTTCTAAAGTTGTTGGTCTCGTATTTTGGGTCTGGTAGCGGAACAACAATGTTAAGCCTCACTAGTTCTGGCTTCAGACACACCGTAAGGGCCAGCGTAATATCAGGTTGGGGAGAAGAGTGACCAAGTCAACATTGTGATATTAGTGTAACCCGTTTAATGAGTTCAGGTGTATTGCCTTGACTCCAAAGCTCATATGTAGGGTCTGTCGGCACTGACCAGGTGCTATAAACATAGTGGGTGGAATTATTTCTGAATCTACTACTTAAAGAATAAAATTCTGCTTTCTTCAACTACTGCTACCACTCCTCTATGTATAGTCTGGTATCAGTCATTAAAGTTACTGTTATTTGGTCTCACAAAATCAGTTGATTTTATTTCTCATGTTTATCTGAATCATGAACATAGCACTACGCCATATTTGTCACCTTCCAGTTTCGTCTATGTTCCTTTAGCTTTCCAACTATTGGTAATGTTGTCTTCAAACATTCTTTAGTCAATTTTTCTGTACCCTAGTGTGAATCTGGGGAACACTGTTTATTAAAGTGGTTGATATCCACTTAACGTTTTTGTTAACTGTTCTTTGCCAATGATTTTGTAATTAAAAGTCACATTCTTGATAAGTTACCTCTTTCTTGAAATTTGTGTCCCAAAAGAGCAAGACTGACTGAACAGCATGGTAACAGACCATGTAGTTACAGATACAAACTTAAGATATAGAAAATTACTGTTTAATTGCTTTTTGTGTGACACGTGGAGTAAGTTGGGTCATTTGGAGCAAACTTGATCGTTCTGATATATGCCACAACTACTCATTGAGTTCTTGGATAGAATATTGAAGGAGATACAAGACATCTTAACGAGGCTTCAAAAGGACGTTCCTTTACTTAAATTGCTTCAGTATTATAACTTGCCTATGTATTCAGGTCATTTATATTTGCTTATCTGAAAGAACTTATCTTAGAGTAACTATTCAGATGACTTTTGTTTCAGTTGCAAAGCAGTGTATAGAAACAGCTTTTCATATATCTGATAGTGAAATCGGTGATGTTCCCGATTTACAAACAGTATTTAAATCTCAGTCTCAAGTAATTACTCGCCTTTTAAGTCATTATTACAGAAAAAACCTGATATTCTAACAAGCGAACCCTCAGAAGAAACCAAATCAATGGCAGAAGCATTAAAAAATCAAGGTATGACTATTCTTTTTTATTAAGCTGCACCTGCAGGCAATCAATGCATGAAACAGGAGAAGTTTGGGGAAGCTGTAGCCTGCTACAGTAAAGCTATTGAGCTGTCCCCGTACAATGCCGTATTTTACTGCAACAGGTATTTACTGAGTTTTATGGCATTTTACAGTTTATTTTGAAATCTGACTATAGTACGCTACCATAGAAATGTCATTACATCTGAAATAACTTCCATACTACTGAAATTGACCAGATGAGTTATAGCCTTATTTCACGGGGATGACAATTCATGTTTGTTATACTTCAGCTCATATGTAAACAAAATCTATAGAAAAAAGCCCATTAAGCTAATTGTCCACAACCAACTTGAAATGCTTATAGTAGCTCATAATAGTCCACTGTTGTAATTGTTGGTTTAGAATTCCATAATCAAATAGCTTATAAGAAAATCTGTTCCAACTAATTGCTCTTTGTAACGTAATATGGGGTTATAAATAGTTGAATGAATATTATTTTTAGTATTACACATATTATGGAAGTTGCTTACTTCTAGAGCAGAGGCGTATCATGTAACTGCCTATTTTTTAGATCACAGCCAACTGTAAACTTGGTTTATAGGGATGTCATGTTCTTAAGAGATTATATAGTAGATCAACTCAGTGAATTACTACTACTAATTTTCATGTAACCTCATCTCTCCATTACCTTGAAAATTGTTGGTCACTTTATTTTTTTTGTCTGAAGAGCTGCCGCCCACTCTCGATTAGATCATCACCAAGATGCAATTAATGACTGCTTAAAGGCTTTAGAAATCGACCCATGTTACAGCAAAGCATATGGCAGAATGGGGTGAGTGTTATAAATTTAGACCTTCATTTTTTACATACAATCCTATTATTTGTAACCTTTTAAGGTCCCCCTTAGACTTATTATTTTTTATTATTTTTATCAATGAATACACCATAAAAGTGCTTTGATACCTGTCGTAAGGTTTGTTCGTTTGAATTTTGATTACTACTGGGAGTCACTTTTAGTCTCGAATTTATCAAATATTATTCAAGGTTTGTTAATATTATCTCCTTGAGTGCGGTTCAGAACAGTATATCATTTACTAATTAAGAATACAGGTCCATGGCATCAAACGTATTATCTGTATTTAGCACTTTGCAAACAGCATCAACTTTTTTTCACTGAATAATTTCACTAAACATGACATATTTCGGAAATGTCAATGAGTTTACTCTCTCCAGTGATAGGTAGTACCTTGAAGTGGTCAGACTTACCTACCGTGATGGCTCAACTGAGCTATACTGGCTGAGACATACGCCCTTTCAGATCCTACCATGCCAAGCAGGTCGGTTGGAGAACGATAAGACTAAACGATCAACTCGAAGTACTAGGGCGAAGTTGTACTGCTGACTGTATGGAGGTGTGACGGTATTAAGGCGGTCCTCTTGGACAACCAGCACCTGCAGAGATGTTGTCTTCTCACGACGAAAGGAAGCAGTTAGAAAATGTCACATCTCACCTAACCCTACGGATTTTTTCTCTGGTAGTAAAGCTTTTTAAAATACAGAGCTAACACATCAAAACTTCCCACACAAAGGCCATGCGCGACCTGTCCCGATTAGTTGTCCTTTACTCTGGTCATGCTCCCAAGTGACGAAGACCACTACTTTTCCGATTCCTTTTGCAGGTCCTTCCACGATGTGGAGAGTTCGTAAATTACAGTTGCTCGCATACCTCTATCAGCACCCGAGATCATTTCCTTCACGATCAAATCCCACCCTCACATCTTAATAATTCTTTTATCCTTATGACTAATCCTTGGTTGGAGACTTTGAATGACAACTCAAAATCGTTCTCAATGGCTTAAGTGCACTCACTCTTTGTCTTCCCTCAAATTCTGAGATTGTGAATTCCTCATAACTTTTTTGTGTGTGTGTTTATTTCGCTGACTTGTATTTTCTTTTTGGATCGTATCTTCGATGCCTAATCTTTCCTATTACCACTGTTCTGGGATTTGCCTTGACAACTTCATCTCTCTGTGCTAATTGGGTGTGTCAACTTGAGCCGATGTACGTACGGGTTCTACATTGTGACTGATTGACGACTCATCCTTGTTTATCTTTATCAACACGCGCCACCAATGGTGATGATTGGAGTTTACGAAATGTCTAGTGTCCCGAGACGACACTAAACTTCGTGTTGAGACTTTTAGTGTTCGAATTTTGTCATTTAGGACAACAGGCTTCTTTAGCTAGGATTCCAGACTCCCACTATATCGACTTCTGTTGCGTCTCCAAAGCGCATGTACATGACCTGAGTGTGGTCATTCACTTGACCTCACCTTGTGAATATTATATCAGCGCGTAAGATCCCTCTGCCACTTCCACTGGCTTTACGGGTGTGAGCATAGCATTAAATGCCCCCAAATGCCCTGGTACGGCCGAGAGTGGGAAGAGTCCGCTCTACCTCTCGAAATGCTCTCACATGGCGGGGGTGTTGTTTACGAAAATGAGAGGACGAAAAGCGAATGTCCGGAGCTTTAACCGGATTCCCAACCAGTGGTGCACATGGGCTCCAGTATCCTGCGGGAACAAATGGTGTATGAACCAATTATTAGTCATCGGCTTCCATGGGACTGCATCTTCTTACGATGCTCCACTGCCTTGTGGATCAGAACTTCAGGTCGAGGGCTCGGGGAGTGGCCCCCTAAGAAAACCACCTACTTCGGTCTAGGCACCTGGACAGTATCACAGCCCTCACACATATCGAATGAGATTTGTGTGGCGCATATGTATTTGGTGCCTCCTTGTACCAATATCTATTTGCTATAATAATAATAATAATAATAATAATAATAATAATAGATAGCATTAAGTTCAAAAGCAAAACAGGTTCTTCTGTAATGAATTTCAATAGACAGTTGCTTATACGCTATTCGATTAAACTAGGAAGGAAGAACGCGGAGGGATAGGGACACATTCCATTATCTCTTCTTTGTCTCGCTCTCTACGCTCTCACTTATAGCACCTCAGATGAAGTAAGGGATAAATTTTACCAGACTCAATAAGGCCGTCGATCATTCTGGGACACACCGAATTTCAGCAGCATCTGCTGAACTGATAGACTCTCGGAAACTCATCTGTGAACACGATGTGAGGCTAAGATAGCTTAAACGCAGGTTGATAAAAAGCCTATGCAATGATCGTGGGCAGTGGTAGGCAGCGAAAACAAAAGAGATGGAAAAGGAAGCGGCAATAGGTAGAAGCAGACAATTGTTCGGACTTATCAAGGGAATAGGTATTAGTCGGACGATTTATGAAAAAGATCCGATTATTATTTACTCAATCCAAGATATTGGATGATAAGTAGAACACTTCAGGGAACAGTTCGACTGGCCTTTAGCCACACTTCAATTCAGATCCACTCTTTGACAAACACTGAATTACTTTTCCTATGTTATATGTTGTGTGAGTCAGATATAATTTTTATAGTTCCATAATGATGAAATTACCAGCTATTTTAGCAAACTTTTTACTTGGCATATAGCAATAGAATTAAATACTGGACATGTTAATTTGTATACACTTGGTAATTTTATTTGGTACTTCTTTATTGTAGTATTGCCTATTCTAGCATTGGTAATCACGCTAAAGCTGTTGAGTGTTATCGGAAAGGCTTAGAGCTTGACCCAAGTAACGAGAATTGTCAGCAAAATCTATCAATTGCCGAAGAAAAATTGAAGAATTCATCAGATAATACTCAGAGTTCAGGATTATTTAGTGGTTTTGACTTAAATTCCTTTTTAAACAATCCAATGATGCAGAATATGGCTCGGCAATTCATGAATGACCCGAATGCTCAAAATATGTAAGTCTGATTAATGTTTCAAAGCAATATCCTGCGTTTCTATCATTATTTGGTAAAGGTTTTTGCTTATAATTGTGAGAGGAATCTCAGAAATAAAATCAGGATGTAATTAATCTAAGCTGCAAGTTGATGGTATCCACATGAGTTAAATTTAAATGCTTTTTAAAGAGAGCAAGAACAAAGATTGGTGCAGAATAATATGAATTCATTTTATTTCGTTAGGTTCTCATCAGCTGCTTACAACCTAAATTATTTAAAATTCAACATTATTACAGATATTGACATATTTATATGTAAGAGTGTGATTAAGGATCAATACATGTGTATGATGATGTAGCGAATATTCAGATAGAGTTAATGAGCTCATAAAATGTTTGATTCGAATAAATAAATAAAGTTTGAGAGGGAAAGTTCTGGAACATTGAAATAGTGATTAGAACTCATGAAAATAGATTAATGGTAATAAAGAAAATATGAATTGAAATCAATCAGCTATGTGTGATGTAATTTATATTTCAGAAAGAGTTGCAATAATGACGTAATAAATAAATAAATAGGAGCAAATTAATAGAAAGAGTGGGGGTTATTGTTACCAGGGTAAAGAAAGATTTATTACTGTCTCTTTTTGTATACATAGGTCTGGTTTTAAACGCTTGATTGCTAACGCTTCAGCGAATTTCAAAAGGTTCGAGTTTGATTGTTTGTTGATCACCTTGAAGGACTTCAGTATATCAGCTTTATGTCCTGTATCAAGGAAATGTCTGGCGATAGCACTGTTGAATGCGTTCAATCCATTTAACCTTAAACTTTTGAAACCCGTCATCAGTAAAAAAATGTCGTCTTTAAAAAAAGATAAATTTCTGCAGCCCGTTTAAACGCATTGCGTTTTTTTCCAAGCAATTTGTAATTGTTCATTTTAGTAGTGTAGTACACCTAGTTTAGATGGTATATCTTATATAACATAGATCAAAACATTTTCTAGTGCCTAAAATTGAACAAAGTTATATTCTCTACCGTTCTCACTTTGCCATCAATCTAGGATGACTAATCTACTACGCAATACATTTGGAGTATCAGACAATCCAACTACAAATAATCCACCCCGTAATACTGAGGCTGATAATTCCAACGAATCAACAGAATCTAGTTCACAAAGTCATAATCCTAGTGGTACTGGTACTAGTACTAATGGTCAAAGTATGGATGAATTTTTACGCCTGTAAGAAATTTGTTTTTTTGTTCTTTATTACCTATTCTATTCACTCCATTTTTATTAAAAATAGGTTCATTCTAAGTATTTGGTCATCATTTGTATATTGCTTTATTTTTTGCACACTAATGGTGTTGTGCTTGAAAATGGATAATTCGATTAGTTTTATACTTTTGGCTGACTAAAGGAAAATTTTATGGGGAGGTGAATAAACGAGCACATAAACTTTGATAATACTCACTTTTCTGCACCATTTCTATCAACAAATAGATAGAATATCTTATTTAGAATAGATAGGTTGTAACCAGCAGTGGAATCCAGGACGCACGTTACGCCCTATTTGGAGCTCACCAGCCGGAGGCACCTGCATTCCGTTGTTGATATTCATACTAGGACTTGAAGCTGGTACCTTTCGCTTTAAAAGTCAAATTCTTTATCCACTAAGCTACTGAGACCAGATAGCCACTAAATTGTTCAACAGGTATAATGTTTATGTCGTCATTAGGAAGGGTTTGGCCTATCCCATTGTCGATATTAGGAACTAAATTTTGATTAGTCTATAATTTTGAAAGTGTAATAGTGAGCAGGCTTTTTCAGACACTAGAAACCAGTAAAATGCGAATAACTACTTGTTGGATGCATTGTTGCGGAAAGTTATATCTTATTCTAGTTCATTGACATATGAGATACTTTGTTGTTTTGTTTATCTCTCATTTTTCTACAACTCTTACTTCAGTATGTTACTTTTATAGTCTTTCAATTTTACTTTGATGTACATTTTGGAGTTATTTTGTTATAATGTTATTGGCACATGAGGATGAACATAGACTAGTGTATTATCTGTATCAAACCAGAGCATAGTTTGTCAGATGTAAAATATATTAAGTATGTGTTGATGTTGTCTGGAAATGAGGAAGCAAGCAGTTAGTTAATTAGTCATATATTTATCTCTATCACATACCTGTTTTATTCTTAATAAAGTAGTTTTCTATTATCATACAATATTTGTGTATTTTCTTTTAATTGCCTATTTTTAGTGGTCAACAACTTGCTCAACAATTGCAAGCATCCAATCCACAACTTGTTAATCACTTACGTCAAACATTTCATACCAATGTTAGTGGACAAAATTCAAATCCGGAAAACAGTACTAATTCCAATGATCATAACAATACAAATTCCAAATAATACTTGCCATTTTAAATGATAACCGGTGTTTTGTTTTGCAAACGTGTATTATGGCAAAACTCAGTTGTAATTTTCCTAAATTTAATTTTGAATATGATACTTCTTTTTGTTTCTTTTTTAGTAAACAAAATAGGGATGATTGTGCTAACTATTCATTGTTTTTCCCCATTTCCTTCTGATGAAAATCATATTGTGCATGCTATATTGTTTTAGACTTTGTTCTTGTCTTCGCTGTGTACTTTTGTTATTAGTTTTAATTTTACGTATGAACTAACGAATAAAAGTTTTTGTGAATCATCGAAAAGTGGTATATTATATTTAATATGATATTTATAGAAAAGGTTTATTCTTAATTGCGTGTGCAACGTGTAATAATCAATAAAACTACTTCACATATATTTTTTGTTGTCTGTTTATTAAGGATTATATAAGAAACCTAGGCGTTTATTTGGTTACATCTTATGATTGTTATGTTTGCCCAAAGCAGGGAATTCTCAAAGTTCATTTGTTCTTAACACCTACTATTCTTAGATCATTAGTTGCATATTGGTACATAATTAGACCATAAATAGTCAGTTGTTATGATGGGTGACGTCCGAGATCTGATACTGATACTAAACTTGCTACTCAGTAACCCCCATAAATCGACTACTTGGACGAAAGGACAAGAGCGGAAGCGAAAGTCTGTTAGGCTACAGTAATCATTCATAAATACTTAAATATATACATTTCTAACCCTTTTCGTCAAGTGACTTCATTTGGCCACTTCTGATTGGCTCACTATAACAGTATGTTTAGTCCTCTAAATATATATCATTTTTTTGCACTCTCTTTGATGACAGTACTGGTCCTTGGTTATAAACGTAAAGTCTCTTTCGTAGGTGCTAATGTCAAAATTGTGTACACAATATGTATTACATAGCCAAAGTAGGGAGCATGAGGCATTTGTCTCTGCAAGTATGATTTGTGGAAGAATTTCGCAATGGATTCAAAATCTTGAGAAGGAATTGGTGAGACTATAATTTATGAACGACCTTTGAGCAACGCTAAAATGACTTTGGAAATGTCCATCTACTTACCAGAGCTATAAATTAGTGCGAGGAACTATGATTAGGATTTACAGTTGAACGTTAGGATTAGAAATTATATTTAATGTTTTCATCACGAACTGACATAAGCTATAATGGTATTTGGCCAAATGAGTGGATGAATCTCGCACCAAAATCGAAGACCTGTTATCTTAAATCTGATTGGTTCGTCCATAGATTATAATCTCGCCAAAATAACTTTACAGATAATGGCACTCGACTTCTTTATTTGAAAAACAAAATCTATCTGTAGGTCACCTATTATAAACAATTCTCATCATAATTAGCTCATAATTCATGGTCAGGTGGATTAATCAATAGGTCATCTTACTACATTGGTGAGATTTAAGCACATAAAAAATCAATACAAAGTAACTTGTGTGCAAACAATGGTGTGCGGATGGTAAGATGAATGTAGCTCATTAAAAATAATAAAAAAAACAACATCAATAAAGTAAACAAGTGGAATACTACTTCATTTAAATGATTACATTGTTTTATTCAAAAGTTATGTTTATCTTTGACAGTTGTTGATTGATAGTATGTATCCTTTAAAAGTGTGCTTAATTTGAGTAGTGTTATAACACTTAACAAGTTAATAAGATAATTAAGCCAGATATGAAAAGACCAACTATTGACTTTGACAACTGAACATTAGATGCATTGCATAAGTCAGTAATACAACAATTTTCTTCCGTTGTTGTATTATACCAAGCAATGTATCTATTTACACAAGTTTCATTCATTTGACCACATGATTTTGCAATATTTATTGTCACCATATTCTTACTATAAGTAAGTGTAGTCTTTATGTAAAAGGAAAATAAGAAAGCGGATCATTGTACATTGAAATATCTGACATAATACTACTTAAAACAAAGTGAAAATAAAAACATTGTACGTGTATAAGTATTTGAAAGTAGTTTTTATCTGAAATGTGATCACATCATTAATTGCTAACTCTTTCTATATTCCGATTCTCTGTCAGTATGTTTCTTCGGATAACCTAATGCTTTAAACCTGAGCTTATAAGCTCGTAATAAGTGGTAATAATCTTAAAATTAGTGAATTCAGTGGTGAGACTATAATTTATGGTCGACTTTTGAGCGACGTTAAAGTGGTCTTGAGAATGTCAACCAACTCAAGAGGGCTAAATGTGAGTTATAAAACTGTGTGAAGAATAAGGATTATGATTTACAGTTGATGATTAGGGTTAAGAATTAGATTTAAAGTTTTCATCACAAACAAACTTCAGCTAAAATCCCGAAACGCCCTTAACCAAACAGATGAATGAATTTCGTGTCAAAATTTAAGATCTGTTATCCCAAATCTGACTGACTCGTTCATAAATTATAGTCTCGCCAATTAGGTTTAAGTTACTTACTTATGCCTGTTACTCCTTGTGAAGGAGCATAGGTCGCTCACCAGCATTCTCCATCCAACACTGTCCTGGGCGATCCTTTCCAGCTCCTTCCAGTTGTTATTCATCCTTATCATATCTGATTCCATTTCCCGAAGTAATGTGTTTTTGGCCTTCCTCTTTTCCGCTTCTTTTCAGGATTCCAAGTTAGGGCTTGTCTCGTGGTGCAGTTTGATGATCTGTTTAATGTATGTCCTATCCACTTTCAACGTCTTTTCCTAATTTCCTCTTCAGCTGGAAGTTGGTTTGTTCACTTCCACAGAAGGCTGTTGCTGATAGTATCCGGCCAATGGATGTTGAGTATCTTGCGTAGTCAACCATTTATAAATACTTGTACCTTCTTGATGGTGGTTGTTGTAGTTCTTCATGTTTCAGCTCCATACAGTAGAACTGCCTTGACGTTCGTATTGAAGATTCTCACTTTGATATTGGTTGAAAGTTGTTTCGAGTTCTATATGTTCTTCAATTGTAGGAATGTGTCCCGTGCTTTGTCAATCTTTGCCTTCACGTCTGCATCTGAACCTCCTTGTTCATAGATGATTCTTCTCAGGTATGTGAGGGATTCTACATCTTCCAGAGTTTCGCCGTCAAGAGTGATTGGATTGCTCTTCTCTGTTTTGAATTTGAGGACCTTGGTTTTCCCCCTGTTTATGCTGAGGCCTACTGATGCAGAGACTGCTGCTACACTGGCTGTCTCTATCTGCATTTCTTGGTGTGTATGCGATAAGAGGGCTAGGTCATCTGCGAAGTCCAAATTGTCTAATTGGTTCTGAGCTGTTCATTGTATTCCGCGTTTTCCCTCAGATGTCGAGGTCTTCATAATCCAGTCGACCACCGGAAGAAAGAGGAAGGGAGAGAATAAACACCCTTGTCTGACTCCGGCCATTACTTGGAATTCATCTGTCAGCTGTCCTCCATGCACGACTTTGCACTGTAGTCCATCATATGAGTTCCGGATAGTGTTGACAATCTTCTCAGGAACTCTGTAGTGTCAAAGACGTTTTCATAACTTCCTCCTATCTACACTGTCAAATACCTTTTCACAATCAATGAAGTTGATGTACAGTGACGAGTTCCACTCAACTGATTGTTCGACGATGATCCGTAGTGTCGCAATTCGGTCTGTGCACGACCGATCCGTACAGAATCCAGCTTGTTGATCTCAAAGTTGGGCGTCTACTGAGTCCTTCATCCGGTTCAGCAATAGTCTGTTAAAGACTTTTCCTGGTACTGACAGTAGTGTAATGCCTCTGTAGTTTTCACATTTGCTCAGATCTCCTTTCTTTGGAATTTTGATGAAGTGTCCTTCTTTCCAGTCCGTAGGCACTTGTTCCTTCTCTCAAATCTTTTTGAATAGAAGGTAAAGCATGTTTGTAGTTACTTCGATGTCTGACTTCAGTGCTTCAGCTGGTATGTTGTCGGGTCCTGCTGCTTTCCCGCTCTTGATTTGTCTGATGGCCATTTTGATTTCTTCTTCAATCGCTTGTTTGCTTCTATGTACTCAACTTGTGCTTGGAATTTATCTGCTCGTGTTCGGCTGTTGTTAATCGCTGTCTTCTTGTTTTTCCTTTCTTTGATCCTGTCCGGTGTTTCTATAGAGATCCATTCCTTATGATGATGCTTCTTGAGGCCCAGAACCTATTGACACGTTGAAGTTAATGCTTCTTTGATACCTTTCCAGTTGTCCTCCATAGTAGTTTCTTCCTCCTTCAGTAGATCCTGTAAGGCTTGGAACCTGTTGTTGAGAGCTATCTTGAACTCACTGAGTTTGTCAGTATCTCGAAGGAAAGCCGTATTGAACCTTTGTAGTGTTGTTTGTCCACTTGTCCAGTTCTTCTTTAGCTTCAGTTTTAAATTGACCACAACTAGGTGGTGATCTGAAGCTATGTCAGCTTCTCTCCTGGTCCTCACATCTTCCATTGTCCCTCGGAATTTTTTATTGATGCAAACATGATCTATCTGGTTTTCTGTGGTATGGTCCGGTGAGATTCATGTAGCTTTGTGTATATGTTTGTGTGGAAATATCGTGACGCCTATGACCAATTTGTTGAATGCACATAGATGTGCAAATCTTTCCCCATTTTCATTTCTCTCCCAGTCGATATCGTCGCATGATATCTTCATATCCGGTGTTGTCTATTCCGACTTTGGCATTTAGATCTCCCATCAGAATAGTGAGGTCCTTTCTTGGGCACTTCTCTACGATTGACTGCAGCCGCTCGTAGAATTGATCTTTAATGTCGGGTGCATAACATTGAATAATATTCATTGTGATCCCCTCCTTCTTTGTTTTGAATGATGCTTTGATGATTCTGGATCCGTGAGATTCCCATCCTACAAGTGCATTTCGTGCTACTTTGGACAGCATTAGATCGACTCCCTGACTGTGTGGAGCATTTTCCTTTTCATGACCGGAGTATAGTAGCATCTCTCCCGTATTTAGCCTTAGTTGTCCAGCTTGGGTCCAGTGGGTTTCGCTGATTCCCAGTACTGCCAAGTTGTATCTCCTCATTACCGTTGCTATTTGACTGGTCTTCCCGGTCTCCCACATTTTTTGCTCTGGTTTTTAGAAGGGGCATCGGCCTCGTGGCTTCCGAAGGAACTCGGCTTTCACCATGAGGCGTCATAGTTCTTCTAAATGAAGACCTTCTAATTCCCAGAGCAAAGTTTAAAGGGTTTGAATTATTTTTCCTGGTTAGCGTTTTTTTAGAGAGTTAGTTTTCTACGGGATGGGGACGCTAACCCCATGCCCAACCCTCCTCCTTTACCCGGGCTTGGGACCGGCAGTAACTTTAGAAGAGCTACAGGCGGAGTTAATTCGGTTTAAGTGAATGAAGTATTTCACATTATCTGAAAAAAAGTTTGTGATTACTCAATAATACTTTGTATTTACCTTTTTATTTGTTACAAACTTATTATAGTAGGTCTTATTTATGGATAAGCAATAAACATATGCAGATATGTCAACTTGTTAGCTGTTTCTAGACGGTTAAAACTAATGAGAATAATAATTTGTATTGAATTTCAATACCAATAAATGAATTTCTTCTTAAATTTAATGTCTATAAAATACAAGAACACTGTAATGAACGAGAAAGCAGGTGGGTACAATCAAGTGTATTTTAATATAACATTACATAATCGCTTAGTAAAATCTGAGAACCATACATTCAATGTTTCATTTGCAAAATGTCAATCAATTGTCTCGGACTTCGTTGTTTCTTCGTCTCCACATCAATTATTTTTTGTTCTCATTCTCTTCTCGTTGATTTTCTTAACCTTCTGACTCTGGTCATTTCACTTTCAACTGGTGATACGTACTACTTATATCTGCCGAAATCTGTAGCACACGCCACAATATAGCGAATTATAGATGTGGCATGATAGCCAATAAACTGTATTTTATTTATCATTATCACATTATTTATGAGTGTTCAAAGAAATTATAGAATAATTTATAGTCACTAACAATGGATTCTTTTTTTTTTACAAACTGAATTGTTTTATTCACCGTTCCGTAATACTCGCTTAACTGAAACAATGGAGAATGGATGCATTGCATTGATAACGTAGTCTGCCGACCATGTTTATAGAATAATGACTTAAGCTGATCAGTAGCATGATTCAAATTATTTTGTATAAGCTTAAATTTTCTTACAATAGTTTGCAATTATAAAAGCCCTGCCTACTGATCCAATAAAATGTGGAGTTTCAGTAAGTTTCGTTACTTCTTATGCAAATGTTATGAAATGTATTAGATCTATAATAGCTGACTATAGCTGTGGCATTGCAAATGTGGTCACAGACTATATTTATATTCTTTTCTAATTGACATTAAAGATCTTATATTTATTAAGTTCTAAGAAAATACAATTTAGTATGATTTGTGTTAATACAGCAAAATTGATTAATAGTAGTTTTATAAAAAATGAAGTTGACAAATAACTTTATCCGTCCATCTAGATCAACAGATTAATTAAAGAAATAATGTATTGGTCTTGATTTACAGCATGTTCAGTCATAACACAACTTTAGATATTTATCTTTCATAATTTCTCCGTCTTCTATTATGAATATTATTGATGATTTCTTGAGCTATTATATTTTATAATCATTGATAGTGAAGTGTTTTTATAAAACGTTTACGACAATTTTGAGTCGAATTTTTGCAAACAAAGAGAAGTAGATAGTAAAGTCAACAATCATGTATTTTTATTCGTTAATTCTAATTTTTCCGTACTAGTACGAAACAGCCATCCAGTGCTTTCAGGTTTTCCATAGTGGTCTACCTTTAATTGACTTATGAATTAAACTATTGAATTTTAAATATGAAGTTGACAAAATGATTAAATTGTGCTGATTAAAATTAACAAGGATCTCATTAGGTCTCAATTCTTTTCAAGCAAATGAGAACAAGAAACTCAGTAATTTTTTAACCAAAATTAGCAAGGCTTTATAAAATCTCCATTATTACAAATACGTAATGATAATTAAAAAAAGATTTACTTATGAACACACCTTACAAAAACGGCACTCTGTATTTAATGATACTCCTGTCACTTGAGAGCTGAAAGGGTTCGCGCATTCGTCGCAGACGTAACAACCAATATGAGCGTCTAAAAAATTATAATGGAATATGAAGCAGGATTACTTTATTTTCTGAATCAGTTTAAAATATTTAGGCGATTTCTATAAGTTACTTATGAGTAGGCTAATACAAAATATCAGAAGTGGTTTTGTGGAGAATTTAGAAAGTTCACTTGTTGAAATCATAAGTCAGTTGAAGCTAGACCACCATGGAAAACTTGAAGGCATTGGACGACCGTTTCGTCCTAGTATGGGACTCCTCAGCATTGCGCATCCACGATCCCACACCCCGCAAGATTCGAACCCAGGACCTATCAGTCTCGTGCCAGGCGCTTAATCAACTAGACCACTAAGCCGACGAAACGGCTGTCCAATGCTTCCAGGTTTTCCATGGTGGTCTAGCTTTAATTGACTCATGATTTCAGCCAGTGATAATACAAAATATGTCCAAATTAATAATTCGAAAAATGATCAGGTTAAAGGCAAAGTGCATCGTTTAAAGTCAAAGCATGTGAATTTAGGTTTGTCAAACAAAATAGAATAAAATAATTAATGTTGATGTGACTCACATAGGATGGTAATTTGAATCAGCTTATATGTTAAGCGAAAATTTAAGAACCACGATCAGAATATAGTCTTCCACTAAACATTTGACTGTAATGGCACTATTATTTCTCTCACCCTATTTGACCCATATTGGTTCTGATCATGGATCTTCATTTTTCACTTAACATATAAGCTGATTCAAATTAAAATTCTATATGAGTCACATCAACATTAACAAGTTTATTCTATTTTGTTTGGCAATCTTAAATTAACATGCTTCAACTTTAAACGATGTAAATTGCCCTTAACCTGGCCATTTTTGGGATTAATAATTTGGATATATATATGTAGAACCTGAAGAGAATATATCAAAAAGATTATTCTTCGTTCAAATATTAGTCTTTTAATATGATGGGAATCTTTAAATGATTAATACAAAATAAGTAAATTATAGGGAGAAACAATTTAAATATGAGTGATTAGTTTAGTAAGTAATTTTTCCATGAAGTAGTTATGAGATAAATTTAATTGTACATATCAACAGTGCAGATTGATAATTACTCCAAAAATGCCTTCCAAGAGATTTACGCACTGATCTGCACAATCATACTAAACTTGCTATATTCTAAGAAACTGCGATGTTGTTTTCATCTTAAGCAGTGAACTTACATACGAGTATTTCAAGTTTAAATTTAACATGATAATGTAATGTAAGCATACCAAAATTAACTCATCACCATACCTATTTTTGTAAAAACCAATCTTAGTAGCTCAAGTCATTGTTATAGAATAGATAGCTAGTCAGGCATTCTAGTCATTTGTAACAGGGACGTAAAAACATTGAGTTAGTCCATTTTATTTAAGAAAAACCTATACAACTTATTATTGTCTACAATAATAAGCCTATGATGTATTCATTCCTAATGTATTTTTTGCATTTATCCATAGTAAAACACGTTTTCAGACGTAATTAATGATCTACAGAATATTCAAACAGCTGTCGTTTGTTATTCATAGCAGCCTGTACATTAATGAATAACTTTTCATATCTCCCTTTATACTGCTTAAACATATCATCTAATGATACTGATCATTTTAAAGATGACATAATCGATTAATATTGTATTAAAATCGATGTAAATTCTAACATTTTCTATGATGATTTCGTTTTTAATTACAGTAAGATCAATTAATCATATTATCATTAGTTTAAATTGAATTTTAAACATGGTTACAATAAGCGACAACTTACTTCTCAATATGTTATTTATTGAACGGAAAAAAATCAACTAAATCTACTGGCGAGACTCTAATTTATGGACGAGCCAATGAAAGGCGTTTTAGAGATTTCAAGGTTACGGCGCCAACTTCAGTGCTGAATGCTAACGTACGATCGGTTCACAGGGAATTTTGTACAAAACTTGATAATTGAGCGGCTATAACAAATAAAACGGCGAGACTATAATTTGTGGACGAATCAATCAAGTATAAGATAATAGATCTCGGATTTTAACGCAAAAGCCTTTCATCCATTCGGCTAAATAAATTTCTGGCATTATAGCTGATGTCAGTTCGTGATGAAAACCCTATACATAATTCCTAACTAAGGCAAATTACGACAGTTATCGAGAACTGGATAATAAAAGCACCAGTAACACTGGCTGCAGCCGGGTACTACAATATATACGGATGATTGGAGAGTGTACAGACTCCTACATAGGCTTGGTTATGTGCATCGTGTCGTTGACCACAAGTAGCATTTTGTGCACTCAACATAAACAATATTGAAGCTTTGTCGTCAAGGCTAAAAGGGTTTTTGAGACTTTATCATGGCTCCAGAGGCTGACTATTCTGTAGCCGTATGGATGATTTCCTCTACTGCGTGCATTAGGATTTTAGAACCTCTGAACCTTTTTCCAACCTTGACAAGTTTTTGAACCACGTATAAGAAGTGTATCCACTTTATTTTCTTGGTTTTGTATAACATATTTTTACTCTATGCTGACTGTGTGCTGATTAGCTAATACTTCCCAAGGTCACTTGGGATTCATTCAAAGGTCGTCCATAAATTAGAGTCTCGCCAGTCTACTAAATACATATTTCAATAATACTCTCGAAATTTATTGTTAAGGCTAAAGAAAATAGTCATAGTCATTTTAGTTTCAGTTATGAAATCAAATAATTTCAATTTATTAAATATTTAAACAAAAAAATTTACTTTTTTCTCATTTGATAGATTTATCACTTACAAATTTGTTCTTCTTTTTAGTTAGTTGAATGAATCAAAAAAATTAATTGAGAGAAGAATAAAAACGAGAAAAAAATTTTTCTTTTTTATATTGATTAATAATTTCACTGATATTTGAAATTTATTAAAAAAGAAGATCATTTCAAATGAATAAGTTTTCTTTTTTTTAAAGTTAAAACTCTATTTATCAGTGAGATATTTCTTTTCTTTTGCTCAAAAGTTTTGTTTTTTCTTCATCATATTTTCTAAACTTTGGGTGATTATTAGAAAATAAAAATGAGATAATTTATTTGAGTAGTGAGTTTCTAAAAAAAGTGAAATAATTAGACAATAAGATGTAAATGAATAACAAATGGTCATATGTTACGTTACGATTTGATAAACAAAAGTTGATCAACACTTAGTTATAGACATATATGTGATCACAGTTACAAATCATTGATCAATGAATGTAAATATTTTATTCTTACTGAAGGTTAACAATATACTGAATAGCTAAGTAATTATGTCTCAAATTGTGAAACTGAATGATGAAGGTTTCAGGTCACTGTGGAATACTGATTCCCTCAAAACTGCAGGTACGCCTTGCTAGTATGAAACCCAATTTTAAGGTTTCCTGTCGATCAGCTTTAACTATCGAACAATGCACAAAATATAATTACTGACAAATTTTATATGTCTGAATTTGGGTCAATGTACCTTCGGTGTAGTGCTGAAGTGTTTAGTTTAACAAAACATCTAGTAGGACAAACACAATTGTAGTATGTTGGATAAACAGGTTATTGGCCTAACGGTTGATAACAAACGTCTTTTAAGGAATATAAAGAACACATCTTCCATGTTAGATAAGTAAATCGTGTTGGAAACATTTTAAAGGCCACTTGTTAACCTAGAACAGTATATGCCATCTGCGATCAACATCTAACAACGGCTTCAGTAGTATTCAATAATTCTTAACATGAGAAAAACTCTCAAATTATCCAGGTCATTGTAATCCATTTTTACCCATTGGGTTTGTGCTTAAGTCAGTTTTAGAGTAGAATGAATGTGTAGAGTACAAATTATTTCGTTCAGTAATTGTGCAGATCGTGAATGGGAAAAGGATATGTTAGATATTTTCAGTTTACTAAATAAGATCTGTTGTTTTTTACGAATACATTGAAGGCTGTTAAGATAAAACAGGAAGCTCCGCTTTACCTACACTTTTTGAAATTTCATAGGTTTCTAGGGTCATTTAGTCATCTTTATCTTAAAATAAAACTGTCGAAAACCGTCAGATTTGGTTATCGTAATCAAATATGATTACTAAGACTGAATTTTATTCATTCTACTGTGTTCGTGAATTAATAACTAATATTGGGTCATTAGACAACAGAAAATTATGAATAATTGTAATGGTCAGTTTTATGAAACTACTGGTATGAACACTGCTATCAAAGTATGATTTTCTGGTTCCCAAGTCTTTGAATTTCAACTCTTAGATTTACATGATTACCTATCGTTAATACAACGTGGGTAAGGATGGAATTCTCCTAGTGGATACACTCAGTATAAAGTAATGTGATTGTAATACGAAGATAATTAAATGATAAGAAACTTATTTTTCGACCATACTGCTTGTTTGAAAATTTGATCTGGCAAAACTATCAGAAGCTTACATAAATAGGATAGTTCTTGTGCATAGACAGGTTGTGTCAAGTTCATTTTAAATGAGAATTCTTCAAGGTGTCTTTTTGATATAATTCAGCATATCTTGATTATAGACACATTATAATCTTTTAAGCTCTATTCTGAAAGACTGACAATAAATAGGAACTTATTTACATTCAATGATTAATGTTAAAATTTTGCAACATTAACATTTGTTTCTTATTCTATTCTTAAGGAAAGTGTTTACATTACAATAAAAGACAGAATGAAGTTAACTAGCGTTTTAAATTTCTAACTAATACAATTTATAAAAAAAATACTTGGTAAAATACATCATATAACTTACATAGAACTCACCATCTAATAAATAACCACACATTACTTAATTGTATTTACTAGTTTACACATGTTCGGATAGATACAAATTTATATAACTATACATAAAAGATCAATCTTTAAAATCATCATTCATTTCCACATAAATTTCCGGGGACTCATACATTTTTACAAAACTCCAAACTATAACAAGTACATTATCTACATAATAAGTTCAAGCACAATTTACCCTTGTCTAGAATCTAAGTAGATAATTTCAATTCAATTTTAATTCGATGAATAATATTAAACATTGTTACTTTTAAAAAGAAAATTAAAATTCTGCCTTGATTCCCTCCAAATTAATACAATCACAAACAAGTTGTGTAATATTACTCTACTGTAATTTATACATTGACTATTTAGATAAGTAAATGTATAATTCAATTATTCAAAATACATTAGGTACATAAAAAATAGTTTGCAGAAAGAATTTTGTTTTATAATTTGCAAAAATAACTACTTATAACCTTAAGTAGATTTCATTAATTCTAGTTAACAAAAACCTTTCAAAGTATTTTTCTCTTTTGGTTGTTTCATTTTTCAATATAGGGTTATGGAGATTTTACTGTTTACTGCAAATCAATAATTACTGTTTTATTGAATTTGTTAGGTATATTTGGATTTCAGAATGATTTAAACATAGACATGATTGATTGTTAAATTGTTGTCTATGTATAAATTATATAGACTGGTTTAATGACCGATTATAACTGTTGTCTATTGTAACTCAGTAATTAGGAACAAGTTCATATATATTAAGCTCTAAACCGAATCTTGTCGAAAAAAGATAAATAAAACTCAGATTGATTTATTTATATACGGATAATGAATAAATATTGGGATATCCAGTGTGTTTCATCAGACTGTGTTTGTTGTTTCCATCATATACCATAATACTGATAAGAATGACATAAAAATATATGAATAATACTTTATAATTTCATAAGAAGCTCTTTTTAGATAGTGAATTTTGAAAATGTCAAAGCTTTGTCAGAAGATAATCATATTATTGTACATAATCTGCTTCTTCTTGAATATAAAGATTTTCTGCAAAACATGCTAATCTCAGATTTAAAAAAGTGATAGGTTATTGTCTTTTTTTGTTTTACTTCACTAAGAAACTGTCATGAAATAAATTCAAGTTATTTAACAACTTCCAAATACTTCCATCTGTTATCAACATTAATAATTGATTCTTCATAGTTTTATTTAATAAAGATAATAATCAAATCAAATAATCGAATAAGAAAAATTTGATGTCTCTCAAAAAATGAAAAGTATAAGTTATTATCTTGTCATTTATGATATCACAACACTAGTGAATACAAATTGTTAGACTGTTTTTATGAAAGTACAGAATTTATTGAAAATCGATGAAAAGGTTTTATAAACTAATACGATTCTAAATTCACTTGGGACTGTTTACTTGAATCTTCCTAATG